AATTCGAAATAATTACAAAAATCAATTGCAATAATTTCTAATGATAAAATTATACAAAAAGTAAGTTTCTTTCGAGATAATATAATAATAACTATTATAATTAGTAATAATACTAATTCAAAATAATTATCTATAATAATTAATTTAACTTTTAAAAAATTATTTACTTTTTTTCATGACAATCTCTAAAAACAGAAAAAAAATCTCAAAATATAAATAAGACAGAAGTTTTATATACAAAATCGAAATATTTGTTTCGTAAAAGATTTCTCGTTACTTTTTGTAGTGAAAGTTTATTGAATTTTTTATTTTATTTTTTAATCTAAGTGTCAACTCTGTTATACAGAACATAATTGAATGAAGATTAAACAAATAATGTTGATATATTAAATCATTATTATTACCTTTTTATTATCGCATAAAAATATTGTTAAACTTAAATTTGTTACGTAGTACAAAAAGTAAGGAACAGGATGTTGCGACAAAAGCAACACCACGATCTTTCATATGATCAACGTCTATCCAGGTGTGCAGCAAAAGATGCTCTTGCGTCCGTAGAAAAAAAACTTTTTCCTATATATATCGCATTTATTTTACGACCCTTGTTATGACGATGAGATAGGCCTTTAGCACCAATTTATCGTAACGCCTGAATTATTGCATTTGAAACATTTCTTTTTACGATTTTTCTATCTTCTCCGTATATCAGAAATGTAAATAAAAAATCTTTATTAATATAATTTATATTATTTTTTCATATTTTGTATAATTAATTTAAATTTTGTAAGCTATTAATATCAAATTATAAGATTATACTGGCTGATCAAATAAAGTTAATTTATTTTTTAGTAAAGATATCGTAAGATATTTTATAGACTTCTTTTTATACTTATCTATTTTAATACTTTCCTTCACATTCATTTATTCACTTCAATTTTAGTTTCCTATTTTCTGTTTCATCTGGTTGAAATTTTAATCCATAGATTACTTAGCATCCCAACCGTCTGTGATTGACACTAATTTAAATTTAAAGATTCAGGGTGGTTCTCGTCATTTATCATATCTTTGAGCAATCATTTTACGTTTCATAAAATAAGTTGCCAAGCAATATATTCTCATGTAAATTATACGTCGAGATAAAGTTGTAAAAGAGCTCGACATACTTTATTAAGTGGATGGCAAATAATGCACAGGTGTATCATTTTGCCCACCCCGAAATTATTTGCCATTCACTTAATGAAGTGTGTGCCGAGCGGACTCTTTTACAACTTCGTCTCGACATATAATTTGCATCAAGATAAAGTTATAAAAACTGAGAATATGTTGCTCAGCAACTTATTTTATGAAATGATTGCACAAAGATAATCATAAATGACGTTATCAGCAACATTTAATGTTTCATATTTTGTGTTTACAATTTATTGTTTATTAAAATAACATTATTTTTAAACATATATTAACAGAGATTAATAAAAGTCTGAAATAAAAAAAACAATTAGGTATTACATAGAAGGGCGATGAGAGGAGCGAATCTCGGTGCGTAAAATAAATTAATTAACAAAGTTTAGCCTCTCTACTACCCATGATAAAAATGAGCTTGGATCTTTAAATTTAAATTAGTGTCACAACCGGTTGGTAAGCCGAGTGATCTACGGACTAAGACAATAGTTAGATAAAACAGAAAACACAGGAGACAAAAATTAGAGCGATATGCGTATTTATTGATTAAATGTACTTCCACTTGTAATCAACGTGCGACTTATGGTTATTATTATCCATGGTTTGCTTCTATTTCGCATAATTTACAAAAGCACCGACACATATTTATACAGTGATTGCTAATATATGACATGATCGTATCAGGATGATTTCATAAACTGATACTGTATCCATAATGTATCTATTCTGCTCGATTACCAAGCAGCAAATGTTCTGACGTGTGAAAACTTGTTGTCATCGATTTTATGGTAATAACATTTTAACCTTATAACACTCATTATACACAGAAATAAATTTTTACATGTTTTGAACTGCTCTAAAATTTTCTTTTTTCTTATTATTTTTAAAAATTTCGTTAAAATCAATAAATGACAAACCTTTGGTCATAAATTTCATAAAAATTAAGTACTTTAACCTTTTTTTGTACGAAAATTAAATCTACTCGAGCTATTACATATTTGTATATGATTTTGAGAAATTTCTTCGCTTGTGTAATTAATTTGGCTGAAAAAGCTAAGCCATAGCTTACAGTTATCTCCCAATTTCAGCAAGTTAATGTTTTTCTTCTATATGAGAAGAAGTTTGCGCAATGATTTACCCTATTGAGGACGTATTTCAATAATAATCCCTTGAGATATCTCCAACAGATGCAATAACAATAAAGCTGATCAATCGCTATCAAACAATATTGTTGTAGATCAAAGTTTCATCTCGTTTTATAATAAATCCCATGAACCCCATTGCCCACGAAAACACGTGGCGAACCCAAGGGAACAAGAGGATTGGTCCGCTCGTTTCCCCTACGCAAGCTCAGTTCGCGAAGTGCGCGTCTGATCCACCTCGATGAATCCAGTCGGTGTTTGGCAACGCGTCTCTCATCTAGCGTTCCAACGATCCCTCTGACCGAAACACGCGATACGGGGAATGTGCGGATTTATTGCTATTACGAATATATTATTCTGACAATTCCGACGCATTCGTGTGCAAATTTAATACATATAAATACATACATATCGTCTCTATACCGATGTAAATCACGCGTAAATTGAAAAAGTCTATCCCATCTGATAAAATATAACATATAAAATATAATTCAATATTCAACAGAACAGGTTGCGATAATAGTAAACGATAAAATTAAAGCAGAACTTTGTGTAAAGATTATTAACTAGCGCGGCGAAAAGGATGATTGTTATTTCAAAAGAACTCCAGTAAAGTGATCGTGCCAGGTGCCACACACATTTTAAGAATCATTGTTTCGATGAGATTCCGCGTCACGTAGTATCGTTGACCCCCTTACGTTTGAAACTGGCCGTATGGCTATATTTTTATCGTGGTAACGTTACCAGCACGCAAATTATAGTTGAGTTTCCTCAGAGTCGTGTTGACGGGATGTTCTGATTTATGTGTGTGTGTGTGTGTGTATATATATAATATATATATGTATATAGTATAAATGATTTAAGTAAAATAGACCAATCTTTATATTATTCAAATGTTTCAAAATTAGTATTATTCAGTATTGAATTTCTTTCAATTCATTTATACGAATTTAAAAAATCCCTTTATGATCTAAAATTAAACACAAAAACTTAAAATTAGAAGTCCGAGGAATATAAATACAACAAAATGTTTTCAATGTATCTTTAAAAACGTAAACTCACATTCACGAAACGTTCTTAAGATAACCCTACTCGTTCAATAATACTGACCAGTAATATTGAATCGGTATAATACTGACAGTACACATCAATATTTTTAGTATTTTTACAACCTTACACAATCAATATTATTGACAATATATTTTACTTCAGTTTTACGTACAACATCTATTGTATTGTGACATACTGTGACATGGATCCTAATAAAGCAATACTGAAGCTCGAGAATCAAAATCCAGATCACGTCAGTATTCTACGTCGATTCACTAATATAAATCACATACGATCAATAATACTGTCAGTATTGTTAATACTGTAGGGTTACCTTTATATTAAATTATTTTATATTCAAGTTTAAATATTATCCTAATTAAATACAATATTAGATTATTCAATGAATATACTATCATTCATTTGTTTTAAAATATCATAAAATTAACATAGAGTTTAGAAAAGTTTTTTTTATGCAAAACGGGTCAGAGAAATTCCGCTTTCTAAAATTTAGCTCCATTTTAAAATTCCTTCCATTTTAATCCAATCAAATAAAGGAAAATGTCAAAGCGATTTAATTCCAGACCGGAGCAAGCATTTCTAGAAAAAGTGTCTATCGCGTGCAACTGTTACGACAAATTTCATTGAATACGAGAATATTAAATATGAGATATACGTGAGCGCATAAGTCGTTCGAAGCATTGCGAGTTATGGGTCGTTTACCCTCTCTCGAAATTACACAATCACTGAATTAGCAGAACTGGCCGTGCTAAAAGCAGGACGTGCTCCAACTCATCTCTCGTTTACCTTTTCATCCTTATTTTTTTTTTCCTTTTCCTTTCTACTTTATTTCCTTCTCGGATTCGTATCCGCCTTCCACTCACCATTCTGCAAGCCTTCTTGATTTCCTTTTTATAAGCCCTGTTTGCGTAGCTTTTAGCATAATGCACTTACATGTGTATATGATATAACCACTGAGCATGCTACGAACGTCACTATAACGATGAAATGCGTTTTACGACTAGAAATGTGCATTATCTCACGGATTTCAGTTAACTTCTTTGATCTTGAGTTTAATATTTTTTAATATTAATTAATAAACCTTCTATAACTGTCTCTTTAATATTAAAAACCGTGAAATGCAATACTGGTTTAATAACCTGCAATTTAATTTCTGAAATGTTCTTTACATCAAATCATTTGCCTAAAGATTGTTTTGATTATTCTGTTTAATTACATCATGGACGTAATAAGAATAAATGACGAAAGTAAATGAAAATAAAATAAAATTTAGATTACCAGAATTTGAAGTTCATTTGCTACTATTATTGATTCGTTTATAATTTAACGCTACAAATTAAATATTCTATTTTAAGTACTATAAGCCCACACAATCTAATGTTTATTTCCGTTTTTAATAAATTATAAAACAACTAAGAATAAAACAGAGTTTGCGAATAATATTTAAATCAACACTGATCAAGGACGCCAGCGATGGTGAATAAAATCGTATTCATGATAAACGAGCAGCATCTGGTAGGAATGAACATTACATCGAAAAAAATAGTCGCGTCGCGTGAATCATTGTGTTGGTGTCGAAGAAACTAGACTCATTCTCTCAATCGCGAGATGAAGAAGCCTGAACGCAACGGAAGAGTTGTCGTTCAAAATCTCACTTACGAGGACAGCGGGGTCGCGATTTCCGGCGAGCCTTCCTCTTCCGGGGAATGCGACGGGATAGTATCCCTTCAAGCACCTAAAGAAATTAAGGAAGATGCGAATCCTGATCCTAGGTTTGAACATATAAACTGTTGCAACTGAAATGATTTTTCTGCATCAGAATAAATTGAATAAAATTTATCGCGAATTTAACTGATTCTGACGTTTGTATCGATCTGTGATTTCTCCTCATCAAAGTCCAAATCATTTTAAATTCATTGAAGGAGTTAATTTCTCCCTTAATTATTAATAATGCAGAATATTTTAAAATCAAATAATATTATCAGATAACACTTAAAAACTGATATGTACGTTGTACAACTACTTTTTTAAAATAAAATGTCATTAAAAACTATTCATAGTAATAAAATCTGATTATATTTCCGCAACGTAATATTGTGTATGCAACGTCGAATGTGATTTTCGAATCTTATATATATATATGTCAGGTATGCTGCGCATTGTACTATAAGACAACATTATTATCCCGAAAATGGTTGGGGCTGGGTCATCGTCGTGACGGGTGTCATGGTGCAAATTCTCGCCACGGGGATACATGGGGCCGTAGGGGCTTGGTTACTCCTTGATGGGACAAAGCGATATCGTCAGACTCTTCTTAATGTAGGTACGTGATGCAACAAATACGTATTAACAATATTTCTTGTCCAGCTTCATCAGAGAAGATGACTGTTTTAAATTGGTTGTGCAATGCACGAACTAAAAGAGGCTATATAAAAAACTTATTAAATATGTGCTATTGCATTGTATCTGCTTCTCGAATTCAAAAATTAAACAATATTTTTATAAAACTTGAAATTTTACTTATTTTATAAATAAAATATGTATATATTTTTCTCTATTTCTTAAATTATCAATACATAAATAAAATAATGATCTCCTTATAATTCAATAAAAAGAAAAATTAACATAGACTAATATGGAGTCAGCGCGGTAATAAGAGCAAAAATTTGTAAATAATTTTATCATCGAATATTTTTTAATTTATTGATTATGATTCTTGCGATTGATTTCTATGAAGTCTGTTGACAATAATATGGTTAAACAAAAAACAAGGAAATTACATCGACCGATTATTGTACTTTTTGGCTGATACGTGGCGATTCTGATTAAATATGTGCTGAAAAAAGATGGCTAAAAACAATAACCGAAACGTCCACTATGTAATTATATATTATATATTAGAGTAAACGATTATTTACAAATTATGCGCTCTTATTACCGCGCTGACTCCATATTAGCTTATATTAATTTTCTTTCTTAAATTATTAACTTTTGCATAAAGAAGAGATAAAATTGATAGTTTAAAAAACGTAGTAAGATGAAAAATAAATCAGTCTATAAAGGTCTATGATTTTGATTTTTATATATATAAGGCTATTGGATAATATGTCTTCTTTGAAGCAATATAATATTTCTAAACATTGTATTGCTTGAGTTTGATAAAATATAAAAATATTTTATATAAGTAGTAAACTCAAATTTTTCGATCATATATAAAAGATTTAGTTATGAAAACAATAAATTAAATTTTTATATAAAAGTCCACTAAAATGATATTATTTTTCATATAAAAATACACCTTCCATAGTTTTATCCATGGAACCGTCGAAAAAGAAATAAAGCATAAGGTCATATTCCCAATTGATCGTATTCCCAATTGGTTTCCAATACTTCTAAGTATAACGCCAGCAGCATTTTCGAGTTGCCTCTTTAAGATTTTGCCTCGTATTATTACTCGCAAAAAATCGCGTCATGAGCGGATTATTATCGTTCTCGTAAACGCAAATCTGACGGTTATGATTTATTTTTTATGTTTTTTGCGTGCTACTATCTTTGAACATTACTGAGTTTCGTTAATTCTGCGATGCAATATTACGTTTTAAAGAAGATCTGCAATTTAGATGATAAAAAAAACAGTAATCTGATAAAACAAGTGAAAAAGTTTATTTACAAAATGATACTTTTTTTCAAACAAATGTTAAAAACTTATTATTTTGTTTTAATAAAACGCTTAACTATAAAATCTATTTAATATTAAACTATTTGATCATTGTGTAGTTAATTTATAAATATGCGCGTCAAACCACGTTTTTTATTGTATTAAATTATTCAAAAAAATTTTACATCTTAGTCTTTTATTTTAACAAGATGTCTAACTATAAAATTTAGTTAATACAATTGACGAGTTTAGTATATTTTAGTATCTATTTGTAAATATATCTTCTATAATCTATATATATATGTCTCAAACCGCATTTTTGTTTTATTCAATTATCCAAAAATTCAAAAATTTGTTAATTGTATAATTATGTGAAGAATTGAAAAAAAGAACAAGTATAACAGACAATAAGTATATATGTACTGCTTTCACCGTTATTTTCGCTTCTTTGAGATCTCAACGAAAAACTTCTTAGAAATTTTACAAGCTTCCTTATTCTTCGCAAGGATAGTCCAACTAAAATCCCGACCAATCTGTAAGTCGTTGACCCTGATGGCAGTGCTCTCGCTCTCGCCAATTCACTTGTTGTCGATTCACCCACTCCCATCGACAGAGACTATCTCGAGTAGAAAGATTCTCGTCGGTCTCACGATTCTCAATAAAAAATTCTGAACTTGATCGCAAAAAGTAGCGAAAGAAGAGACAAAAGAAGTGATGAAGTATGGAACATTACGCGGTAAACATTTCTTTTAGACTTTCAGAGACTTTACGAATCAGAAATTGTTCGGATGTATTTTCTACATCCACACGATACATATAATTTTCTTATTAGCAAATACAAATTTAAAATGAAAAACAGATAAATTAAAAGTACTTATTCTTAAGAATTTAAATTGGAAAATTTATCTATAATTATAAATCCATAACGATAATTAATATTGTGCAGTATTATACTACTGGAATTCATAACCAATTATAAGTATAATCGTTTATTATTTTATTGTTATTATTAGTAGTAGTATTAGTATTTGATTAATTGCACATAACTGCGTACCAAACTGATCTGTATTACAATTGTGCATTAATAAGTTGAATATATAAATTTTTTTAAATTACATCATTTTTTGGAAGGTTTATTTTTTTTATTTTAGAAACGCATTGCCTGTGTGAATTTTGATATGGTTAGTGTATTTTTTATCTTTTATCCGTTTATCATCTATGGAATTTTTTTATGAAAAAAATTGTATGTTTTGCAGGCAATATAAAAAAGAAGTACTATATTACTAAAGTACTATAGCCCCAAGCATTTTTATATTCAGATTTTTCTAGATATCACAATTTATTACAGATTTTATCATATTATCAAGTAGGCGTTTCAATTTGAAGTAACCCCTGCATACAAATCTCTCTCCTAAACTTTCCTTTTCCCTCGATGTCCTAAACGATAATAACAGAAACAGCCTGTTTATACCAAGGCAAATCCGGATATATTTACTTCCTCACAAAGGAGGAAATTCCAAGACGATTGCAGAAATCTCGTCGGCACTCAGAATGAGAAAGAAGAAAGATCCTGCGAAAGGCACGTCTTAAACGATACTCCCACGCGTATAAGTCACCGCGCCGTTGGCCAGCGATATTTAATGCGCATCCGTCATCTCGTCGTAGCTACAGTGAGATTAATAACTGCTTTTTCTCGCGTACGCTCGGCGCGGCGCCCGTTTGTCTCCGTAACTGTCGAGTCGTTACTTACTTCCATAATAAAATATATCCACCGCGATTGATGAGCGCGCGTATTGATGAGACCCGCAAAAATTAATTAGACTCAGTTCTCTAAGAAGGCGGTTTAATCAAGTCCGCTTAAAATGTCGCTATTAAACAGTTTTACCTACGATCGAGTGTTTGTTTAATACTTATGGACGGCCATATTAATTGGCGTCTTAGCCAGAAGGATCGTGTGCACGGATTAATGAAAGAAAATGTACGAAAGAGATTTAATACGCTTTTCGAAAAGTTATTAAATTAATATATATGCGATATATTCCATTGATTTATTTATATTAAAAAAAGATAATTCTTTCTTATATGTTTTTTTCTTCTTTTCAGTAATTCTCAAAATCTTATTTATTATTCAATTATAATCCTCTAATTTCAAACATATAGTTATATATTTCAAGTTTGAAACACTTTTACAAAAATTGACATTTTTTAGATTACTTATTCAAAATATCCATAATAAAGTGTTTTTAAACAATAATTCTTTAAATTCAAATATTAAAAATTTAAAGAATTATTATTTAAAAATCTCATGAAATATACATTGTTATTTGAGTAAGAAATCCCAGAAATACTAATTCTTAAAAAATGTTTCCAAACTTTTAGCCTAGAGTATATATATTCGCTGAGAATTAAGATATGTGCAACAAAAATATTTACAAGCTAAAATTTAAAGCAAATATATAATTATGTAATTTAAAATATTTTTTATCCGCTTTAACCAAATACATGGCTTTCTTCGTTTATCCGCGTGTTAAAATATATATCTTTGCAGTTTAAAATATCTTATATTAAAAAAAAATTCTTTATAATAATTATAAACTTATAATATTTTACATAGGCGTAAACTATTGTTGTTTACGCATAGACTTGCGATGTTGCTTCAGAACTCAAATAGATGCAAGAGGCGTCCTCAACTTTATCCCAGAATCAGACGTGATTTATCGACGGGATTTCACGGTTACGATAAACGTGCTAAACATGTCGTGGTAAGAATAAGGAGAAAGAGGAAGAATGAAGTATAAGAGTATGAAGTATCGTATTCATTAGCACGAGGTGCGTTTCTCGAGAATTCTTTAGATACAGTGACTATCATAAATCATTTGAAAAGCGGAATGATAACGCGTAAACTTTATCGACTCTGACAGCTCGAGTATCTAGGGTATGGTAATAGCTTATTTGAAAGATACAGAGGTATATTGTGAATCGCATAAGAAAATATATAAAGTAGCTAGATGTATAATCCATTTACAGGCAGGAAATGTACTGTATGAAAATTATAGCCCACTCATAGGAACAAAAAAGATGAGATGCAAATGGAATTAAAAAGAAAAGAACAAAATTCAAACATACATATTAAGAGAAAAAACCAGATCTAAATATTTTACTAAAAATGATCTCAGTTAGGTAAGTGTTAAATGCATTCCAAGATATTTATTTTTACATTTCCACTTGTCATTCCGAAATTGGCAAAGAAAATACATTATCGCGAATCGCGAATTAATTTTATTTTTCGACAGACATCGTTCAACGTTCTTTAAACAAACACGTAAGAACGGTGTTTGTATCAACTTTAAATTCACATAAATAAAAAAAAATTAAATGAAATAAATAGTCGCATCATATAAACGACAAAGAAAAGTGGGAAAGAATAACATGCCAGACGAAATGAAAACGAGCCCCAGTTGAAGCATCTTGTTATCTACAACGTGTGCATAACGAAAATTAAAATTTGATATAACCATGCGTGATTTGACTTTTTTATTACAGGGTAGATTGCGAGCGATATACGCGAAAGTTATATCTCTTTCGAGATTGTCGATTAATGACACGCCGTTGGCGTTCTCGCAAAAAGTTAATAACATCTCCGTGAGAACTTCTTACATCGTACAGACATTTTATCACAGAATTAATTCACATTGTATATGGATAAGTACATAAACGGTATCCATATTCCCGTAACGATAAGAATCTGAAATGCTGTATTATTAGGTAGTACTGGACAGGAGAACGTACGGAACATAATTATAATTGCCACCCTATCTTCCCGTAATCATACTCTTTAAGCTGTTTTATCTGAAAGTGTCATCTATGTGTTTACACGATTAAACAAAGTTTGCGAAATGTCCACACGATATTCTTCCGTTTTATAGGATGGCTGGGGGCAATGTCGACGGGAGTCGCCTTGCTCGTGTCGCCGGTTACAATAGCGTTTTGCCGAAAAAAAAGTACGAGAGTAACAGCAGTCTTGGGCGGCCTCGTTACCGCCCTCGGCTGCCTCTTTACTTCCTTTGCCTCGCAATTTCATCAATTGTTCTTCAGCTATGGTACCGTCGTTGGTAAGTAAAAATTGCAACGGAAAACAGAGGACTATTTGCAGTAACATAATTATAATCATTCGTAATTAGAAATTCTTGTAAACATATTCAATGCAAAGATATTCAGTTTTTTAAATAAACGAAACAAAAGTGAATATATTTTTTGTACTTTAGAGAGGAAGTGTCGTGCTAAATTCGCGAAGTTAACACGTTATATATATTTTAAATCTATTAAAATTGATAATTATGGGAATTTTGTTTTCAAATTACATATATTGATACAACTCGAGCAATACTAACGGAATTCAATTGACAATAAAATTGCTTTTCTTTTTAAATCACTTAATACAAGTTATTAATTTTTGAATTTAAATTGTTAATTTTAATCATTGTGATAATGATAATTAATATATTATTATTATTATTAAGTAATAATAATGATGTCATAACAAACTATGATACCTGATAATATTTTGATATTTGCGAGAAAAAATATACGGCGCATTTTGTGTGGCGCCACATTGTTAATGTTTGGTTATATTATTATTTTAGCATACGTGACATCTTTGTTTTCGCCTACGTCCATATTCATTACTAATATTAGTCTATTAGTTCCATCCATTTCCACCCTAACTTTCCTCTGATGCGAAACTTTGTGAGAGCTTAACATCAATTTCGAAAGTGTAGAATAATTGGCGAAAGGAACGATACTGTTATCCGATTCTATAAACAAACTAAGGATAGTTACAACGACTTGAGTCATCGGTATATTTTCTTTCATAGGGATTGGGGTTGGAATGACACGAGATTGTAGTACGTTGATGGTAGCTCAGTATTTCAAGAGGAAGAGAGAATTGGTTGAAATTTTTATCGTCTCAGGAAGCGGCTTGGGTATAGCAGTTATGTCTGCTTTTATAAAAGGAGCAATCACGTACGTACATATTATATAAATACAATTATATATAAATTGAAATAAATATTATTAAAAACTTATCTCATTAATGAAACGCAACGATACAAGCAAACAAAATTTAACAGAATGCAAAATTCATTACGCTAAATACAATTAAGCATCATAATCATAACAATAAGATTATTTGCAAAACAGTAGTATTGTTCCCAAAAATATTTTTAATTATTGTTAACAAAAAACATTGAATTATTAAAAGTTCAATAAAACAATAATTGATTAGTTTTTTAATGAAAAATTTAATTTAGAATTATTAAATAATCATCTTGAAAGTGATAAACAATTTAGAAAATGTGTATACAAATATATATATAGTTATATTGTATTATTTTATAAATATGTATCCATGTAAAATTTCCTTTTATCTAAAAATATTGCAATTAATCGCAGAATATGTGAATTAATTAATACATAAATTCTGCGATTAATCACAATATTTTTTGTCATCGAAAAAAATCAATTAAAGCTTAGTATATAAGAATTTTTTATTACAGTAAAATCGGATGGCGACTTGGCCTTCAAGCTGTCACGGGGGTGGTCTTTCTCACTTTTATTCTCGGCACTTTTTATCGTAGCGCTTCGCTGTATCATCCTCAACGAAGAGCAATTTTACACTTGAAAAATCAAAAACGCAAGATAAAGGACAAAAATAAAGCCACCGACAAACCACCGTTTTTCGATTTTAGCACTTTGAAAAGTAAAACAGTGCGGATTCTTTTGGTATCTACCAGTATTTCGGCATTCGGAATCAATACGCCGATATTTTATCTGGTAACTACGACGAGTGAATTTGGAAGTATAAGTGACACCATACGTATTCTATCTACATTCTGCATCTTTTATTCAATTAACAAATCACATGAAACAAATTTTCTATTATCTCTATACTCTACTGACGCAAAGAATATTTTAAAGCCCTCGAATATTAGTAGCGAAATTCCGTAAAAATTGAATGAACATGGATGTCCTAAATATCATTTAAAACTAAAATACCGTTTTCTTCTATAACAGTTATATTTAAATGTCCAATACGTAATTATTAAACGATTATTTAAAATAACAAAAATTCATAATTTGCTATAATACTGAATATAATCCAGTACATACCAATATATACTAACTTGTTTTCTCAGCCTTAATCAAAAAACGATAAATACTAAAATATATTGCATGATTTTTTTATGCAGGCACATCAAGCGGAAGAAGAAGGTCTTGGTGATACTGTCGTCCTACTACAAGCTTATCTCGGGTTAGCTTGGACTCTTGGCTGTGTAGCTTTTGGACTTCTAGTCGTTCATCGCAATGTTGAATGCAGAATAGCCCGCCAGTATCTTACACAAGCAGCAGTCTTTGTGTGCGGACTTTGCATTCTCGCTCTTACTGCCGTACAAGGAAATTATCACGGATACGTTATGTTTGCGTGGATTTACGGTAAAGTCTCATTCCTTACTATAGCAAAACAAAAGTAATAAAATAATGCAAATAATCCGCAATAATAATGCAAATTTCCTTCTCTGTCTCTCGCAATAAAAAACTTTAAGAGCACATTACGAGCAATAAATAGAATACTGATTTTCCTGTAGGCATTTTCTGTGGCGGTTATCATTACAGTCTGAAGATGTATACATACGAAAGAGTAAGAGCGCGGAACTTTGCCAGAACATGGGGTTTCGTTCAATGCTCTCAAGCCATACCAATTGCAATCGGAGTACCAATATCAGGTAAAAAAAATCTAATACAGTATAGATTTATGTCTCAATATAGTATAGCTATTCTGATATGTTAATTATTAAAATTTATAGTAATTTATATCGTTTCATTTGATTTTAATCATTGATGTAGTCTCACTTGTAATATAATGAAATTTAAAAAGAATGATCCTTTGAAATATCAGCATTTAATTTTATTCCTCTGAGTATCCTGAAATATCGAATTTCACACCGCATGTATTTTGCAGGATATATAAATGTGGGTTGTGGTGGAAAGGCTGGCTACTACTTCAGCTCGACATGTGTTTTGGTTGGCAGTTTTACACTCTTCTTCATTGATTTGCATAGAAGAAATTTATCAAGACATAAACACACCAGAGCTAATGGTAAAAAACATGTATGCTCCTCGGACAGTTGTCCTCAACGACGAAAATTGTCGTTTAGTCAAGAACTTAAAAACGAGGGATCTCACGTAGCCGCTGCTGGAGCAGCCGGAACGACGGCTGCAGCACTCATTTTAGGGGCCGATATTGCTCCAGTACAAGGTATATTTTTTCCTCTTATGCTTTTTATAATTTTTAAAATGAGTAAAAAGAAAAGAAAAAATGAGAAGTGACAGAATGGACAAATGGAAAAGAGTCCTCCGTTAAATGTTATTTCATTGTTTACTATAACGCGTTTTATCCTGTTTATAGTAACGTATTTTAATCCTCAGTCTTATCTATACAGCATAGAACTTGCAATGATATTACTGCAATATTTGTAATATTACTGCAATACTCCTAGAAGTTCTAGAAAGTTGCAATGTTGCTACAATTATACACATGGTATATCTAGACCGAACGTCAGCGGTTATTTGAGAAGTGGCAGTAAAGCTCACATAAAAAAAATCTCACTCAACTTTGTGCTCTTACATTCTTTCTCGTTCACGAAAATGCTATATCTGTGATGAATGTGCTATATCTATGATAATCATATTAGACTAATCTATACTGTACGACTATATTATTTCAAGTTCTATAGTACACTATTACGTTTGATTTTATTTTTTATACCATTTCTTAAAGTATCTATTTATTCTCATGTTAATTCTCACACTATTACGTTTGATTTTATTTTTTATACCATTTCTTAAAGTATCTATTTATTCTCATGTTATTTTAATATTAACTCAAGTAAAAACAATAATTTTATTAAATCTAACTCTTACTATTCATATGTATAATACAATGCATTCAATCTTTCAAATAGATAAATTGATATTTTTATTTTCATTTGTATAAATAAGGTACATTGTAACATGCAAAATAAAACTTTGTGTAGTAATGATATTATAATCGCACGAAATACTCAACATAGCTATTGTTTTATTATTCTAGGTGAAGGAATAGACGCTTTAGGAATAGATAAACCGGAACTCACATGCATTTCAGAAGAAGGTATCGCCGACATGGATTTACCTGATAATTTACTGGAAGATTTCGATTACATAGGTGATTGTATAACTTCGTGCAACAAAGTTGAGAACTACCTTATGCTCTCGGAATTCGAGAATAATCTGATTGCTGAGATGCCAATTATTATGGATCGTTGTGGACGCAGATGGTCCCTGGGGCGATCGAAGACAAATCAATCTAATTGTGGTCAGCTTAGTGGCGTTCAATCAACAACTAATGAAGATGTCAAACCGAAATGGCGTTTCACGAATGTACCGCCTAATACTAACACCAGAACGATTACTGTTATTGACGAAGCTAGTATATAATTCCGAGCACGGATAATGGAACATCATTAATCCTATCCTTACGAAAAAATGCTACTGGATTCGCAAAAAGACGATTGAAAATAATTAGAGAATTATTCAAATATAATATTCAGTACTGTTCATTCCAGTTTCTCACAATTCTCACTCATCCAATAGTATTTTTCCATAACGATAAACAAAAAAAATTAGAAAAATAATTATATATGTGTAAGTAAAAAATTCAAAGATACAGGTATAATACCTATGCGAAACTTGTAGTATTTTTTCAATATAATTTTTTTTAAATACAATATAAAAAAATTGAAAATAATACAGTTATAAAATAAAAAAAATGTGCATTACACAGAAAATTTAAAAACTCAAAAATATGTCAACCTTAATTTTTGAATATAAAATATTATAATTCTATAAACAACGCGGAACAAAAGTGTATCTTGTTAAATGCACTACCAGGGATAATTAAAAGATATTCATTCTCAATGATTAAATTTTTTATAAATATCAGACGTTTAAAAAATATCTAGATATTTTCCGATATTCAAAAAAGATGAAACTATAAAAACATATTTTATATCAAATTTATTAAATCAAATTTTTTAACCGCTGTTTGTTATCAGAGACATACACATTCTATTGAACTTTCAAAATAATGAAAAAAATATGTATATGATGAGATAAAAAAGAATATGAAATATTGACTGAGTTTTTCCGGCCATATATATATATATATGTATGTATATGATCTATTAATATTTAATTGTAAATTATTAAAGTTATATTCTCTCAATTGTTTATCCGTCATACCTATTTAAATATACGTAAACATTATTAGTTATAAAAAACAAACAACGATATGATAATTTGTATAACTTAAAACGTGAATAATCCGATAACACGGCTCATTTGATTCGCGCGATGTAATTAAGGACAATAACATCAGCTTTCGAAAAAAAAAAACGGAAACCGTCCAACTATAAAAAAACTACCTTGATTCACATCAATGTATCTCTTTAAATTTTCTGTTAATTGTCCGAAATAAAAAATAATTGTTATTATTACTAATTTAATTTATTAATGATATTACGCTTTTGAAAATAACAAGTTTACTAGTTATACGAATGAAATAGTAAGCTTAGACTCTTTGTACAAATATTGCGATTTACAATGATTGTTATTAACCGATAAGGCAGATGAAAATACAATCGTAATGGACATGATTTGTCCTAAATCAATTTAAATAATTGATTTGATTATTTGATATTCTTCAATTTGATAACTCTTTATCTCATGTTTTACATATATATCTATACTTCTATGCGGATTGATTCCGTCTAACTTAATTTTCCGACTTATTAAGTAAAGTTCAATAAAATAATACATTTTAAAGAATACATTTTATCAAATATTTTATGAGAATATATTTAGATCTTAATTGTTGATTTTTATAAACGATCGAAACATGTACCTCTGGCTACGATTATACAGATAAATAAGAGCAAACTTATTACTGTGCAAAAAAGATTGTATGTAGACACGTTAGTTTAAGTTTTGAAAACTAGTCCGATCACATTTGAAATATAATGTGTCGTGAAAATATAAAAATACAAAGTGCATATATACGTAAATATTATTATTCACCGCGTTATCTTTTTTGGAATTTGATCCTCATAATGCAATGAAATGAATGGCGGATCTAGATATAATAAAAAAAATGCGCATCTATTTATTTATCAAATTATTTATATTAATATGTAAATACCTACTCGATATTGCTGCCATGTATATATTTTAAGTGTAGCTATATAAATTAAATGATTAAACGCCCCGATAATCATCGGCATAGATTAGTATGATGTCTATAAGAATCGTGTCTTTCACTGATTAATATATGCAAAAAGATAAAATTATGGTTTTGTTGAAATAATAAAATATAACTTCATCGAATATATGTATAAACGTAAAGATTGTTTATATTAATTAAACAATAAGAATAAGACATCAATTTCGTAAATATTCACGAATATTAATCATTTAATTAATAAAAACAAACATTTTAGCAATAAAATAATGAATATTTAAGATACACTTATTTATAAAATGTACATTTTTGTAAAATTATTTATCACAAAAAGGATGGTTTTGCTAAAGTATCTAAAATTTAATCAAATATAGATATTTTTGAACAATTTTTCATAATTTTTTTTATTCTAAAATACGTTTAGATCTGTATTCAGCTAAACTTTCAGATATTTCAGTAAAACTTCCATGATTCAGTTAATATAAAAATTAACACTATTAAAAATTATCGCCCTTTAAAAGAGAGTGCAAAAATTCGCCGAACAAGAAATTTTATACCTAGTTTGAATTATAAATGTCTTTTCGTCGCTCTCAAATTAAGTGTGAACCTTCTATGATCATAGGAAACTCAATTTAAAAGATATTCAAAGAACAGTGCGATGAAAAAGTTAATCGAGAAATTAAAAATAAGAGAAATAACATGTTTATTTTTTTTTAAGTTTCGATATAGATAAATTTTTAATTATAAAAAATGTTGCATTCAATTTTTTTGAGAATTTGGAGACATGGTAGTGTCTCGGCGCTAAAGCAAGCGCAGCGGCACTGCCGTGACTACTTTTACGGTTTACAACAAAAAATACCTATATATGTATAGGTAATAATTACTCAGCAAAAATAATTATCAATCTTGTCTATAGTGAAAAGCAAATCGCTAAATATATTCTAGTGACAAAAATAAAATTGAACAAAAGTTGCAGAACGTATTGTATTGTCGTAATGTTGTTGATATAAAAATATGATTCAAATACGCATAATCCTTGTATATGTGCGTTATTTTATTCTCTTTTATACCCTAATTTCAGATTTTCTACATCTCTCTATGAAAACGTCTCTTAATTTGAAGTTGGCGTTTTATTAGCATGGAACAATCGTAAATCGATAATGAACGCAGAATATAGTCTAAAATTACAGTCAAATTAGAAACAGCACAATCAAACGATCCTATTACCATTTCAATGAATGTGATATCGATAGCGTTGCGTTAATTGTGAACTCCTAGTCTACTCATTAGTTTCAAAGAAGGCGTATATTTGTTGTGCACGGTGCGTTATATTTCTTTAATTTAATGGCACTCAAAGAATTATATCTTTGAATCACGTTGAATAATTCGGTGAAAAAAAATCGTACAGAGATCATTAAAAAAACAAATTAAAGGTAAAGATTCACTCTTTCGAAAGCTGTAAACCCCATTTGTGCGCAATTTTTAATTGGCACAGTGAAACTTTACAAATTTCGTAAAAAATATTGAGACTTTATGCATCTTTCATTTATGTTTGTGTAATTTCATATAATATTAGTTCAACCGTTTTTGTAAGTACCGATCTGAAAAGTAGAGATTTCAAGCTTTAAAATGTTTTTTTTAAACATCTCGCTACGGTAATTTTTCTCTAAATTATCGATATTTGAAGATATTAAAAATTTGTGCTAAATTTTAATAGTCCGTTTTTTTTACCTGTGAGTGTATATTAAAAAATAAAATAAATTTCTCGCATGAACACACATATATCATATATTATACGTCTCACGTTAATTAACACACAATAGTGTGCGTGGTGATTGGTACGGTGAGAACGATAAGAGGTAGCACAGCAACTGACAGTCGCTACAAGACGCCTCACGATCAAATGTCCCCGTGGCATGAATCGTAATAATAAATTATTAGAAAAAAGACCGAAAACTACGCAAAATTTTCAAGGTAAGTAGTATACCTTTATAAAGTAATTTCCAATATTTTCTTTACAATAGTATAATTTAATCACATTTTTTTATGAATTTCCATTTTATATTTTAACGAAACTTAATATAAGACTAAAAACTTAATCGTATGACCTCTTGAATATTACATTAATATGAGCAATTCGTATAATAAGCTTTTAATATTTCATATAATGATTCCATGGAATTGATAAAAAAATAATTAATTTATAAAATCTATTTGTATTTATTTTTTCTGTATATAATTGACGCATTTGTATTTGTGTGTTTTCACTTTTCATGTATGATTCATTAGCATTTCGGTATAATTAGGAAATATCATTTTTTACTGTCAACGTTATCAATTGGTAACGATCGTGAAAAAAACATTATAAATTACATGGAGGGTCCTACCTAAGAAAGATAACCTTTGGGTTATTTTAACTGGATCCTTTATGAATACGGTCATGTATCCCTTCAACCCCTCTTTCAATTAGTTCAAGACTCACTCTCTTCGTCATCCTTTTTATCGTTTGATCCATTTATCAGAGTTATTGTATCGCCACCGGTCTTAATCCGATAAGCAATTCGAAGAATGAATCCTAGCGCGGATGTAAAACGCATCACATCATATAATAATAACACAAGATAAGAACAACGCGTCTTGCAGCACTAAGGACGAAACGAAAATGGCGTATGGAAAACTGCACGTAATACCATTAAGTCTCTTCATCTTAATTCCGGTGACATTCGTAATTACGTAAGTCCGCAATTTTTAAATAATAAATAAATCGAATTATTACAAAAGATATAATAAATACATTTTTCTAGAACAAGGTAAATGTATATTACGGCTTTTCACTGTTTTAATAAGTTTTAATTTGAAATATCCTCTTTGTGTACTCAATCAGTTATTTCTTTTCAAAACGAAAATCATTATTAAACGTGAAATTACCAGTAAATAACGAATATAATTGCTGTATAACAGATATAAAATATGTATATTTATATAATTATATATAATAGTTATTATGTACGTTTATGCTGAGTTATTTATTATTTAGAATTTAGAAAATATTTGTTTTATCCACAGAATCTTTAAAATATAGAATAAGCAGAATTTGCTTAGTTCATTTAAAACTAAATAAATTGATTTTTTCATCCTTCACATAAATAATTTTAAGTTATTACAAATAATCTGTTTCTTAAAATTAAAATAATTATCTATATAGTAGATATATTTTTCCAAAATATCACTTTTTTCATTATATACATATAATTCAAATGATTTCAAAGATCAAATTAGATTTATATTTCGATATTTGTCTCCTTATTAAATAAATAATATAGAAATATGAGTACATAAGTTAATTAAAAATAAAAAAATTTATATTAATAGTTTTATAGTTTGAATCAATTTTTAAATGTCTGTAGCAAAGACACATCGTAGAATGATTTAACGATCATGAACTAATTATGAAGAACTTTGCAAGCAGTCAAGATAGTCGAAGAAACCTGAAACGTCATATATACTCGCTCACGCCACTCAAGTTTATAGTTTACAAATGGCTCATGTTTCAGATACACTATATCGGTGCAATGGGACCACGTGGTACCTGGATTCCCTTATATATCGGAGACTGGTACATTGTCACCAGAATCCTGCATATTTTCGCAATGCTTGAACATTGCGGCTCTTTTACGTATGTAAACACAGTTCCAAAAAACACACACTGTATAGACTAATTATAAGTAAAATTTATCTCATACTTTATATAGACAGAAAATTTGAGTCACAAATCATATGAATAAAAATGTTAAAGAAAGAAATCTATTTAAGTTATTTATTACATACAAATATGTAAAAAAAAAACCTGAACAAAGTGTAGTGAATAATTAGGAAGAGTGGAGATAGAAATTACTTCAGAAGTTTTCTTGAACGCAATAAAAAAAAATTCAATCTGCATTTTTTACACAGTCGGATGCTGTGTATACATCAGGCATCGACAAATACTACAATGGCAGATAGAAAGAGGCCACGATCTCGTAGACAAAAAGATTATCACAGTGACAACGTGCTGCGGTATCCTTGCTTGCTTCGGCCTCGATATACTCGCCAATTTTCAAGACGCCCGCGTAGTCGCCGCTCATATGGTTGGAGCGATGACTTGCTTCTCTGCCGGCACTCTCTATTTCTGTCTTCAGGTATACCGTGATGCTAATCATTACGTTTTACCGTGGACATTTCGATGCCAGAGGCAACGCTAAATTATTGATGATATTGCATCATTCTTTGGCAAAGAGCCGATTGAACATGAAGCAATATCAGAAAGGCTCTCTTTCCGGTCAATCAACATTCGACACTCAAAAGCTATTCTTTTATTTTGTATCAAATTTTTTAATTATATTTTCTTTATTTTTTTTAACTTTATATTTCTTTTATTCATGAACTTAGTTTAAGTTTTGTTCTCTGTTTTCTTTATGCGAACTTAATAATATAATAATACTTTGAAAAAGCAGATGAGCTCCGTGGATAGTTGTATATATTATCATAAAATAATTATTATTCTGTTTAGACATATCTGAGCTACAAGATGGTATCAGCTGTGAATGGCATAATTGTTGTTTATTTGCGTGCAATTCTCTCAGCTCTTACGTTAATATTGACGATCGCTACGATCATCCTTGGTTACATCTCGATGTCAGAATTTCAAGGTATGTAAATGCATGTTATTAAAAAATCTATAATTTTTATAACATGCAATCTACCTGTATAGTTATAATCTATAACATATTCTTAGAATGAAATTTCTCAGTTATTCACATAGAGAATGAGTGCATGTCAAACATTTTAAATTTACATTAGACATGAGTGCAAGCAAATGTAAGTAAATATTATATAAAACTTTATCATTAAATAAAATGTAAAATTAAATTAACTCAAATAGTTTTAAGGAATTCACATAATAAAAATTTAACGTGTTACGCAGGTAACGATTACAAAAAGTGGTTACCGGCAGATGGTGGTTGGGGCTGGCACGTAGCAAGTACTATATGCGAATGGGTTCTCGCGATCGTCTATTGCGCGTTTCTTCTCACTTTTGTTCCAGAATTTCGATTAATTAATTTTGAAGACCCCATTGTTACGGTACTTTTATTTTTTTTTACGATTATTATAGTAGGAATAATTTTATTCAAAAAACTATATTTTTTTCATAATTAAAATATCAACTGTATATGTGTTACATTTTTTTCTCTAATTCATAAACTTTAATTGTGTGTACTAGATATTCTATATATTACTAAATATTTCTTTATTATTATCATATATCCTCTTCTCTACTAATCTATGAATAATATAAAGAGATAAGGGCAATGAGCCAATAATTTTGTTAAAATCTTTTAAACTAATCTAATATATATTGCGAAGAATATCACGTAATTATGGCGTTTCGTCCCAACTTCCACTACTGGACTCATCAGTAAGGCATTGTAGTGGAAGCCTACCTTAGACGCCTGTTTAAGTTATTAAATCGTACAATGCCTTACTGATGAGTCCAGTAGTGGAAGTTGGGACGAAACGCCATAATTACGTGATATTCTTCGCAATATATATTAGATTAATTTAAAAGATTTTAACGAAATTATTGGCTCATTGCCCTTATCTCTTTATATTAGTTGTTTAATACATATTGAGCCTTATCACGAATATTTTTATCTATGAATGGTTTGATAATTTTTTTATCAAAATATTATTCTTTAAGGAAATATAATAGTGATGAAGCACTATCTATTCTTATCTTTTGCATGTCTATTTTTTTATAATTGCAGAAATATATAATAAATATACATGACAAAATTTATAAAAAAATATCCTGTACATTAATCTTGTACATAATTTTATTTTAGCTAATATATTTGGATAATATCAAAAGCTCAACAACTTCAGACAAACCGGAAGGAATCACGCCACAAGACACGTAAATTTTTTCCTCAGTGAATGTTAAGAAATAAATACCACTTAATTAATATACAAATGATTTTCATCATCCTTCAAAGTAAGACCTATAATTATGAATTTATGACTCTAACTGCTACCTAGAGTTCTGATTCAAAAAGTGAATAGCAATTCTTAAGTTAAAGTTACATTACTGTTTTCACTAAAGAAATAGAAAATTTATTAAACAAATGAAATATATTTTATAAACAATTTATCTTATATTTTTCTATCATCTTTCTATATCTCCTTCGATTCCATCTTTTTCTATATTTATATTTTTAAGAATTTTATTTAAAAAATTATTACTTTCTGAAACCATAATTAAACATTTGCCATATTGTTTTAACAATATAACATATATTAATTTAACATATCATGTTTCAAGAAATCATACAGAATATGTTCTATAGATTACATAATAAATATTATAATATATTTTTCTAAAATTATTAAAATTATTTGTTTTATTTTTTTCAAGTAAAATTGTATAATAATATTAAATTAATTAACCATTATATTCTAATTAAAATAAAAATATTCTTTAAATTTATATTTAATATTTACATAAATTTGACATTTAATCATTTTTTAAACCATTCTCAACAAAAAAGTTAAAGTAAAATGATTTTAAAACAAAAAATTTAAATCATTTATAACATTTAAAATTAGTTATAACTCATCAGATAAATTATTTCCAATTTATCAGTTACTAACCGATTAGTATTTGCTATTATAAATAAAATTATGTAGTGCACATAAGAAATCAGAAGATAAAATCAACTAAGTAACAAGAATTAATATTATCTCAACTGCAAAAATCAATAAAATTGAAAATTTTTTAAAGTGCATAAAGTTATGCAATGTAATAATAGTTCATTAGTAGTATGAATTACAGATGAGTTTGGGTTCAAATTTAGATAAAATTCTCTCGCTGATTAATTTGCGAAACACACATCTCAAGCGTCTAGCACCTCTTCACGTTCGAGGACAACTGACCTTTCGCCAAGAACATTATAATTCGAACTAGTCATACTAATGCAAGGCTAATAACAAATTTAAAAAAATGGTAAAACATGTGTTTATAGAAGACCTCGCTCCAATCACCTTGACACATCTTTTCAAGATCATCATCCTGAGTAATACTTAAACGTGGTTTTAGTTGTCAAAAATTTCATTGTTTACTAAAAAGTTATTAACATCAAATACAATTATATCATGTTTTACTATACAGATATAACTAGATCTTATTAACATTTACTTTGAAATTTTATATGTTTTAAAATAGTATTTACATAAAAAAAATTTTCCTGATTTTCTTAATTTAGTATTGCGCGTGTGCTACCTTTCCTCTTATAAAAAAGGAATCGTATCTATCGAGTGAGAGTAAATTACCGACAGTAAATATAAATACTTAACAATGTACTTTATAATATCATTAATATCAATTATTTGTCATTCTTTATATTAAAGTTGTTTCATTTTTTGTTTTCCCAAGTTTCTCATATTAAATAATTTATTATCTACAATTTAGTAAAAAATGATTTAATGACAAGTTTCATAAAGTTACTAAAACTAAAACAAGATGAGTCTTGTTTTTATTTTTAACAGCATAACTTAATTAATTTAAAAACAAAGAGAGAATCTAAAAAAGATGTAACAATATATAAACTTTTACTTATTTCAACTGTTTCAATAAAAGCAAATACTGTTCAAATTTCTTAATACTTATTTCCTCTAATTCTAATTTTTGTTTCTTAAATAATATTAAAATTATTTAATTAAAAAATTTTTATTACTCGCATCTCTCCCTTAAAATTATTTTTGCGTAATTTTAGAAATATTTGAGAAATCAGGTTTAACCTAGAATTATATAAGAAATAGATTTAATTTTATTATTAAAACGATAGAATTTTGAAATAAATGAAATGAACACTTTTCTAACAATTTTAACTTTTCAAGTTTAAAATTTATGCATCTTGCAGAAATAACAACAATTTCTAATATTTTAAATAATAAAGAATGTATTCAATTTAATTTAATTAAAATTCTGATACAATCTTAACACAACTATAATATAATTTCTTTATTAAATGAATCTTGTGAATGAAACTAAATTCAATTTTCATTTTACATATAAATATTCGATCATCACTAATTTACTAAACTTGAAACCAAATTTAGCAATTAATTAATTTTCCAACTTCGTTTTCCGTACAATCGTCGCTATTAATCTTAAGAGCAACACGTCATAGTGACAGGAAGCGTTTAAGATAGCGCTCACAGAGTAGTAGGATAAATAGTCTTGGGCGAACGTGTTGATCGGACAGTAACGACGCCGACGCGACGGTAGCAAGGACGGCGGCGCAGCTGAGTACATCGTTTTCACTGACGCAACATCGATCGCGCACCTCCATGGGCTATAACCTTTGCATTTTCCGACGAGTGTCGTTGCGATTCTGCGGAGTTTTGCCGTCCGACAGTATTTAGCCAAAAGGATCTGCTTCCTATCAGCCTATCAGACCTCGCGTCTAAATTTCTGATTGTACGCAATATTGTCTATTATCATTTAGGCGGCGTGTGTGCTCCGAAAAATAAAGAGCTCCGTCTGAACAACCCCACGAAAACTAGCAAAGCAGGAATCATCGCCCGGAGTAAAAGTTTTGTGTAACATCATCCGATGTATCAAGTGTATCTCATTGCAGTTTTGGTATGATCTAATTTTTCAAGTGTTGGATAATAATAGAGAATTGATTGGTAGTTTGTTGCGGCAAACATTCTATGATATGATCTTGTGCACCGTAAAAATAACCAGAAGCGCATTATTTTTGTTACTGCACGCTGCATTACGAACATAATCGAGATACCATACATCGTGTGTTCTATGAAGGATACGTTCTTCCTTGTGTTTATTTTTATTTTATAATGAACGGAAAAAACAGAGGAAGATTATTCAATGAGGATTTTTATCTTTTTATATACCCGCTTCCGCTTCATGGCTTTTATTAACACGCTTGTTCACACGTTTTACTTTTTCACATAGATAACACTTGTATTATATAACAGTTGCGTATTCTTTATAAACGTGACATGTCACAAATATTTATATCAACTTCATATTATTATTTACATAAATGCATAATGTGACTTCCTAATATATTTCAGGTAGACTCAGTACAATTCCCTAATACACCGAATTAAATAAATAATTAATATTACCATATTTATTAAGATTTATTAGTAGACGTTAAAATGTCATTAAAATTATAAATTTTATTGTCTATATTAAATTGTTGTTTACATTGACTATATTATTTTTATATAGTGAGTGCAAAAAGTATTCATATATAGGAGATATCAGATCTTTAAAAAAATATTTTTTGAAAGTTAATATTAATAAGCAATTTATTAACGAAGAATAAAATAGACTGTGTATATTTCTCAAAATTATTTTATCTACAAAGACATGTAATAATTAAAATATATTATTTTAAAAATAAACAAAAATTTAAAATTATATTATTTAGATTTTAGAGATGTACAAAATACAATTGACAAATTTAGCTTCAAAGATCGCAGGAACGCGTGAGACTCTAATTTATATTGAAACAAAACGTATTTAAATATTATAAAATTATTATTGAATTGCTATTATGTAATAAATTGCACTTCTGTACCATAAAATTAATCATAGTATTATATTATATAAAATATTATTCGTGCGCACGTAAAGATAAAAATTACCTCTTACAGAATTATTCAGAGAACGTTAATGGCATTTAAATTGCGGCACTGCCCTTGGTTCAGTTATTGCAAAGATTGATACTTAACGAGAAGAGAATTAAAAGGCCTATGAATAGCCATCAAAGAGTATGAATGACCGTTACTCGTCGACGGCTGCATCGATGCATGATTCTTCCCAATAGTGGCGTCGATCGCAGACGTCGACGATTGACGTCATCGTCATTATTATCGACTTAATAATAACAACGATTTAACATCGAAATCATGGATAAGCAGGAGTTCTTTACGAATCTACAATATCTGCCAATCGCCGTTTTTGTCTCGTTGCCTACAGTTTTCATTTCAACGTAAGTCGAAATAGTTAACGAATTATTATTAAAAAGCTTATATTATACATTCATAATATGTTAATTTATTAATATCTGTATTATTGTATTTGTTAGTGTTTTGTGTAAAATATGGGGGATGGTACAAGCGCTCGTAATTTCTATCTAAGTCGTCTTCTATCATTTTAAGATTAGATCAAGGTTTATTTCACAATTCACAGATATGTAATCGCTGTCTTGTTAGGACATGTAGAAGCTGGCTTTCCTTACATTTCTGATACAGCAACTTACGCACCAGAAAGTTCTATCTTCTCTCAAGCTGTCAACCTAATTACTATTCTCAGTAAGTAGACAAAACACACACACACACACACACACACACACATATCTCTGAAATATATCTTCCATAAACGAAAATATCATCCACAAATATTTTATATGTATTTTATATCACACCAATAAGTTTTCCTAATATCTATGAGGATGGTGACTGCCACTTGTAACCGATAGAGGCGTTAGTGTGCTTGGAGACATGTTAAATTGAATCTGTTTATAAAACTGTATATGTAAAGATATTTCTTTTCCAATAATTATTTCAGTTTTTACAAGATACAGGTTGTTTTCTATACGCCATACACTATTCTCCATTTACTGAAGCCCTAAACACAAGCGAAATAACAGCGATAGCGATAAAAATAATGGGAACGATAGCGATAGCGATAGAAAAGCAGAATCCGAAACATTTGGAAACACATATATCAATGAAACACATAGAAACACAAAATAAGGCAGTAGATAAAATTCCACCGAGTTGGAATTCCGTGTCGTCTCACCCAGAGAAAGATTTATTTCAAAGAAATGTTTCTTTGCTATACGGTTAAAGAAAAAATTTCTTTGATTTGAATATCATTTTTAAAATGAAATAAAAAAATTTTTCTTTAATTTTTTCTAAATATTTTTTATAGAAAAAACATTTCTTTGAATCGAAGAAACCTTTCTCTGGATGCTTATATTGCCTACTTAATCAGCGTTCATTTCTCATCTTGAAACAAATGAAAGAGTATATTACAATCTATACGCGATCAGATTGGTTAGCATTTTAATTTCTTTCGTGTCGTTGTGCAATGGGAGACGACAATTATATATCGCTTATTTCTATACTATTATTCATATCTCTGTTCTTGTTACTGTTGCCTTGCTTTGTTTTTAGTTATAAACGAAATACACGTGCGATCATTTCGCCATCCCCATTAAGAGAATCATAATTTGAATAGCTACACCAATTATATTACCGTTTATAATAACATTTAGTACCGTTTATATTAAAACTAAGAAACTTTACTCCTGTTTTATTTTTGCTTCTATTTATATTTAAAGGTTATTACTTAAAGTATAAAAAATACGTTAAAAAAACTAAAAATCATGAAAATTATAACTATTAGATAATAAACAATCATAACATATAAATTTTATGAATCATTAAATTAATTATTACTCGTTTTATATTGCAGTGGGTTCTGCGATCTATATAAGATATTCCCAAATTAAGGAATGCATTAGCTCTGACAATTCACCTACAGATTCTTTGCTTGCGAAATGGAACTATTGGGCTCTAATTTTCGGCCTGATGTCAACCGCCGGTCTATCAATTGTCGCAAACTTTCAAGAGACGTCAGTAATAGTAGTTCATCTCATCGGTGCATTTCTCTGCTTCGGAGGTGGTACCGCATATTTTTGGAGTCAAGTACGTATAAGAAAAAATTACATCCTCAAAATAATAGCATCGCGAAAGTTTATTAAACTTATTGACACATCGAGGTTTAATACAGAGAATAAACAAATAAAAAAATATAATTTAACACAGAAAGAACAGAAAAAAACACAGAACAGCTAAAAACTACATTAATTCAGCAAATCTACAGGCGTAATGTACGAATAATCAGTTTTCTATGTTGAAGCAGCAAAGTTAAGCAGCTGAATAACATTAGCAATTTGTTAAACTATATTCTTATAGAGTTGAATTCACGCAGTAAGCTATAGCTCTGCTGTACTACCCAATCTATTTTTTGTTCCGTAAGTGAAAAAAAGGTAATACTTATAAAAATGAGCCGACTATCTTTTTGTTACAGGCCGTATGTTCATTTTGCTTGTACCCATCAGGGTGCTCGTTACGAGTTGCACAGCTTCGTACGGCATTATCGATCTTTTGTACTGTGTGTTTCATTGTGATCGTCATCACAGGCGTGTTGGCTCATTTAGCCTATAAGGGTTAGTTCGTTAATTTTTTTAACTTATTATTTGAATTGCATGTTGTACTGTTAATATATTAAAAATATATTGTGTAGGAACAAATCCCCAGAAATGGCATAAGGAAGATGGCGGCTGGGAGTTGCATGTGGTTAGCACGATAACCGAATGGCTTTGTGCAATAGCATTTTGCACTTATATCTTAACATTTACGGAAGAATTTAAAGATATCAGAATAATTCCTCCAAAGGTAATTCTTAAATAACTTGTAAATAATACATTTTAATGCAACAAAAATGTTTTATGTTCTATGATAAAAACTTAATTCTTTTAAAATGTACAAATATACATATAATATAGTATATTGTAGCAGTTGATAAAAAAAATAATATTTGATATAAATACAGGAAATTTTAAGAGACGCTAAGTTAAGAAAAACTGAAATATTCTTTCTTATTTTTTATTTTTAGAACAATAAAGTATATAATCTCATCACTTTCTATTGAGGAATCATGAGTACGTTTGTATTATTTGCGTATCTGCCAACAGGTGATATGTAACATACACCGATTGAATTCGACTAACGAAATATTGAACGAGAGCCAAGATTCCGCCGTGGTTCACGATCAAACAAATCCATCAACCAGTACCTGATCGCTCATAGGCAGAGGCGCCGGCTACGTCAATCTTCTTTCGCATTTGCCGGTTGACACACCTTGTCCCGGTTATCGGTACCGCGAATCCAGAGACAATTTACTGGATGAAGCGGCACCGCTGGTGACCACAACACCGCCAGCGTTATACGAAAGAAATCCCGACGTCCTCTGTCCAGTAGAAATACATGTACATGATCCTACAATACGTGAACGACGTCGACATTCCCTAAACCATCATACCGAGAAGCAACACCGAAAAACAGACGTCGAAGACAGTTCGACGAGATGGATAGATCTCGATGAGAATGTGCTGGACGGTTACATTTTAATCGATGACAGAAATCTCGGTCCTTCAGTTCCCGAGATTGATAGTGAGGAATTGCCATATCCTGAGGATGCCACTGAATACGATGATGACGATGATGAAGACGATGGCAATCAGGATGAAGATACTGATAGTCATGGCAAATTCAAGTTGATATACAATCAATCAAAGAGATTTAATTCAAAACGATACCAGTCTGACTTCGATTTTGGCGTGACATATCCGCTTGCGAATAGTCATGAAAATGCCTATCAGGACTCGAACAGTCACAGTAAATACGCAGAACTATATTCGAAACATCAAAGTGCCAGAAATAATCTCGAAATAGCTTGCGGCCTTGATACGTCATCATACACAGTAGCGAATAGTCATGGCGATAGAGCTTATAGAGATAGCTCGAAAAACGACAATCTGGCGTGGGATACATCAACACACATGAATTACGAGATAGCCAATAGTCACAGCAATTACCGTGTATTCTACGACAGTCAAACACAGCATGAAGCTATGATACCTCCCTGGTCTTCAGAGCCATGGTCGGAAAGTCGCCGCGAAGAATCTCACGTTATGCAAAAGGAATCTAGGGATAATACCACGAAAGAGCAGGACAATGAAAAATACGAGGCAAGCACGAATCAATTAGAAAAGAAAGACGAGCCAGATTCCGAGACTACCTGCGATATCGAGCAATGTTTGGTACAAATCGAGGAAAGTCTTTTAAATATTGAACAAAATCTCCTTCATGTTCAAGATTTAGACATTCCGGAGTTGCGGAATTTACTCTACAAAAGTCCAAGCATAGAACGAAGCCTTTATGAGGTACAAGATCTCCTCAACGCCGATGGCGTTGTTCCGGTCGTTCCCAAGAATAAATCCACATCTCTCAATTCAGATGAAGAAGAGGAAAATGAAGAGGAAGAAACAGTAGAAGAAGAGGAAGTCTGGATAGGTCAGAACATAACAATCAAGGATAACGACAATGAAGATGGAAACGCGGGTGCTCCTTTCGTAAATAACTCCAGTGAGGAATGCTCGGATATAATCAACATTGACGAGCATAATCCCTCAAGATCGGATGATAATCACTGGACTGATAAATCAAACGTTTTAGTAGAAGAAGAAAAAGACTCGAATTCTCAAATATATTCAAAGAAGAACTTTGTGCTCAATAGTCTTGGCAAAACTTTACCAAGAAAAATCGCCCTCGATGAAGTTAAAGAAAATATTAGGCTGTGCTCGTCAGAACCGGAAGAGCCCGTAACTATAATCGATTATAACTTAAATAGCGCATACGTCGAAAAGAAATCCCTTTTCCGCGACAAATGGCATAGCAGGGCAAGCTCTTTGGATGAGAACTCGATCTTCCAGAATTCGGAGCTCGGTGATAAGCAAGAAAACGACAAACCCTCGTTGCAAGACGTCTTCCTTATGACCACGGGGTCCCGTCGCTTAGCAGCCAACGTAAAAGCGCTATCGGAAGGTACCTTGCAAACCAATAAAAGAAACCAACATGAAAGAAGAGGATCCCATGAGGAGAAACTTCTACAGGCCGTTGAAGCAACAGCAGCAGACTTTCGAAAAAAACTCGAGACTTTTGCGTCGCAGCGACGATCCATTCTGCACAAACAGAAGAGGATGACGCTGAAATCAGCCAAAGAAGTCTCGGACAACGTGACATCACGATCGAGAGAAAAATCCCCTACGAAACCGAAGCGCGCGATCGCGACAACAGCTAAAGCACAGGACAAGGACAACGGTGCCGGTAAAAATACCAGTTGCGATAAGCGAAAGAGAAAAAAACCATCAGGGAAAAGTCAAGGTGCCTCGGAGAACGCTTTGATCCCCAGCAAACTGATCTCACTCTCGTTATCGTTGCTCCTCGCAGCCCTCCTTCAAGCGGTCAGATGTTTGACGGACCTCGTTGAGGATGCTTTTAGGTCGGTCAGTTACGACAGAAGCGGATTACTGCAGTAAACTATATAATAAATATCAGATAATGCATGTCTCGGTTTTATCATAAATGCCGCTGGATACTTCTTAAGTGACGACAATTAATCACGTTATCAATACACTTCATAATCATTTAAGAATTACACAATATCTGTGATAAACATTATGTTTAGGAATCTTGACGGAACTTGCATTAATCCCTGCTTCCATAAAAATATCAAGATTGACGAAGTTCAACTTATTGAACAGAAATGAAAACTAATTTTAAAGAGCTTGTAATAATAACGTACTGTGAAGATGATTGTATGACGAGCAAAAATTAATCTCACAGTTGCTCTTTCTCTTTGAAATATAAGATTAAAAGACACAACGAGCAAGATACAATATAGTGCGTAATAAATCTTGATAACTCGATGGTGCTAATTACGGGCTAAGCGTATAAACGATATCTTAGTATTACGTATATACGGTCAAAAGTGCCTGAAATCCATACGCGTATCACATACGAGGTGTAATACATGATACTATTAATAACGCTATTTACGTCTACCTACATAAATCTCTTTTTTCAAGTTGTAAGAGCATTGAGAGAAAATAAAACGAAGTGAGAAGATGAAATGCTTAAAACGTAAAAACGTAAGTCGCTTTTCCTTGCATCATTCATCCTCTTTCCTTACGATTCGAAAAACATAAATCTGAAAATGATAATATATATTGAGCTTTTCGAGTTAAAAGATGCTTTAGAAATTCAATTTAAAAGAAACCCTTAATAAAACAAATGCAGTGAGATCGATAGAACTCTGTTATATGTATATTGTCAATTATATAGTACATGTATTTTAAAAAATATAAAAATACTCAGGAATTGTATTATTATATTAATTACAAGATTCAATCAAAATCTTCAAGTTTTATATTTTATTATGAAATAGATAAATAACAAAACAGCTATTATTTAAAAAATAGAGATAAATCATTGTTTGTAGCTTCACTATTGCCAATAAAAAAAAACAGTAATATTTTTTTCAGCTCAAATCTCAATTGAACAGCCATAAATCATCATTTCCGTCATAATTTATGAATTATTATTATCAATCCCTCTGCTTCAATTTCACTACATCAAGGATTTATTTTCAACAATCTCATCGTTTTACTCGCCATCGATCCTCCTTAGTACGAATTGTAAATTAGTACAAAATGATTTATACACTGTATGTACATTTTGCGCGCGAAATAGTATGAGAGGAACAAGGGTGGAATTCAGATCAATGTTTCATGCTTATCGCACATCGACTAAGGTCGAAGGGAGGACATAGTAATGTGATACCGAACTATTCCGAAATGTTCCCTCAATTTCGAGTTTCTCATCTTACAATCAGTAGAACAATGTCTCGAGTTTCCAAGTCATAGCTATCTTTTGCAAAGCTTTTCATAAAGATAGTTATTTCTTTGTTTGTTCGTGTACTGTTGATCTCAATAATAACAACATATTATATATACCGTTAAAAAATTATATATAATATAAATAACATAATTCTACAAGATTAAAGATAACATTTTTCAAATATTAAATGATTAAAAATATCATCAATAATCGCAAAATTTCATGTTATCTATGTAAATGTAAAACATGATTCTAGTAGCACAATTCACTGGGACATAATATTGATTGTATTGGTTCCTGTGTAAAGAGAGCCATAGATACGAGTATATAGTAGGTTGAAAAAGTGTTATAAACTCATTAGACACCGCAACAATGCAAAGACGGTCCCACTCTGACATTTACAAAAATATAAAGACAAAAGATATAAAATAATACCAACATAACGTATAATTCTATACCTTTTTTTTCAGGATTTTTACAAAAAATAATTTTTTACTGTAAAAAAAGATAAATTTTTATTCAGTTTTTACTCTAAAGTAAAAAAAAAACCGTTATTTTCCCATCTCTATTCCCAACATTGATTCGCATTCGTTAATAAAATAGATGCTTTTTGTTCTATAACAAATATTGAATTTCAAATATTGGGTAAATGTATATAGGTATATATCTCTTTTAACCAAAGTAAATAACTGATATAAAAAATATATTAGTAAATAGAATAAACAAAAACTTTATAATATAATTTACCCACACAGATAACACAAAGAATTTCGAAATTAATCTTCAATTATTCTTCTCTCTTTTCTGATCTATAATAATTTCTCAGAAATTAAAAAAAAATGTACAATAAAAATACTTTAAAATATTACATGTACCAAGAATTTAGAACCGGCCTATATCATTATTTCATTCATTATCATAGAACATAGGTGACAAATCTCATATAGCTGCATCTTTCATTCTGTCTTATATACTTTTTACTTATGAGAAACAGAACTCCACATCGATGATGTATACTGTCTGCTGACAAAAACTAGTATTTCAATTTTTACCCAATTTTACTATCATAATAATATGTAATATTAAAAATGTATTTGTATTAAATTTATAGCTAATATTGTCTTTATATTTGGCATCAATGGCTCAATAAATCTGCAATGCATGCTAATATGACCACTGTTTAATTAATGTACCGCTAATGAATTGTGCTACTACAGAACCCTACTAAAAAAAATCACTTCACAAAATTACATAAAAAAATCATGTAATTAAAACAATCATGTAATTAAATCACATGACGGATTATTCCAAATCAGTACGCAATTTACATATTTTAATTACATCATTTCGTTATGTAACTTCGCGACGTAATCTTTTTTACTAGGAAATAGATACACAATATCCACAAAAACTTTTGCATTTTATTTGCCAGTTTTCTTATTATATTTGATTTATATTGCAAAAATATATAAATGTATAAAATTGAATTTTTTTACAATTTAAATAATTCTCGCAATATATCTTAAATAAAAAAGCAAAAAAAATAACCAAGTGTGACAATGTTATTATTATTACGATGTTTACTATCGTATAATAAATGCGTATAGATAGTATGATCAGGTAAGTTCTCTTTCCAGCACATCAATCGTTTAGAAACGACATCACTCGCATTCTCTTCTATACGAAAGCCCATTTGCCCAGCTAGCCAATGCCAACATAAAAACGCCATTACGAAGATGGAAAGCCAGACATCGGGCGCGTCTTCCTGGCCTTAATACTAAAATATACCCTCATGTGAAAATGAAATTGAACGCCCGACTGAATCTATTCCCCACAAGAAGTAAAAGATCTTGTCCCTTTCGAGAGACTCAAATTTCATTAATGTCCTTCAGCAACTTTTGTGTAATATTCTCTTGAAAATACGTCATTCCTTGTAGATATCAATCATTGCGATTTGTATGAACGGGAATCACAAAGGATTATGTGATATGCAAAATATGTACATTATTGCTATGCTAATGCTTATCAGAATTTACTTCAATCCTTCCAGAATTCTGGCAAATATTGCCATGTTATACGTTCCTAGCTCAATAAAGAGACAAAGAGTATTTCACTATTCTTTGGTTTTACACGCATGTATCTCATATAGATAAAATGCTAGTAAAATTAGTATAAATATAGAATAAAAGCTTTCATTTGCCAATTTCAGAATAATGTGGATATTTTATGGTTATTCTTAAAATATAAGATAATATTGACAGTTCTAATTCTACCAGCGAAAATTCGACTAGCAAAAAAAGTTAGGAGATATTTCCTAGTAGAATTCAATAGCGTATCCAAAGACGTAATGTTTAGAAAATGTCTTTATGATGCCTTTAAAATTTTTTTTTGGATATGTATGTTATCTGAACAACTATTATCCGATATACTTATCATCGAGGATGTTAACAAAAGACATATTTTAAATTATAAAGTTTGCATGAAATAGACACAATTCAATTAATTCAGTCATTAAAGATATAGATATTAGATATTATATACATTATAGATGATGGATTTGATATTTGCAGAGTGCCATACATTAAATAATAATACCATACACATTGAATACATTTGTTAGTAAGTTAGCTTATAGTAACTTTTATATTCTCGCTTTTTTTCTTAAATCCGTCAGTTCTTTTATTTGATTTAGTTTTTCACAAAGAAAAATCTTTTTATCCAACCATAAAATTTATTTTACTTCAGAATTTGACTCTACGTCATACTTAATGTTTCAACTCAAAAGCACCTTTCAACTTTCTCGACAATCCTTTGACGAAACGCACACGTAACTTATGATCTTGTTCGTTTCATTTTCCGCTTTGTTACTAGCGACACGAAGGACTGAATAAAATATAGTAACGCGCCAGAGAGGCGAATGTATCTATGCAGCTGTTTATGCGTCATCCGCTTCGCACCGTCCCGCGTCTCGTCGCGTCACGAAAACCGAGACGGGGCGACTTATTTAACTTGAAATAAATTGCCATGAAAATCATGCACGCTAAAATTTTCATAATGTTGATAAATTAACAATTCTGATATCAATCTTCAGAATTGCACGAATAAGGATGAAGCATTAACTTTGATGAAACTTCATAGACATAATGAGATGCAAAAATAATATACTGTTTAATTTTAGCATAACTTTAAAGCATCTCATATTCTCTCGAGTGTTGCATATTCATTACAACACAACGGTTAATAAAACGTAGCAAAATAAAAAAAATTTGTAATTTCAATATTTTTTTGCACATCTACAGTCTATGTCTTTCAAATAGGGATGTTTATCGTTATTCGATAATATCAAATATTCGATATTTTTTGCTGCTCGATATAAAAATATCGAATAAAAAATTATGTGAATAAAATATTGACTAGATATTTTTTTACCATTCATATCTGAGTTGTGCTAGCCTAGCACAAGTCAGTACAACCGTTAGATTCACTGGCACAACGATATTAAGGGTACTTTACTCTTGAGCGCGACCGCTCGCGGAAGCATTTTTTGTTCAAAATTCGGGTTTATAACGCTTCAGTGTGAATGATATTGTATATATGAGTTGTGCTAGCCTAGCACAAATCAGCACAACCGTTAGATTCGCTGAGTTGTGCTAGACTAGCACAACTCAGATATGCAATATCATTCGCATCGAAGCGTTATAAACCCGAATTTTGTACAAAAAATGCTTCCGCGAGCGGTCGCGCTCAAAAGTAAAGTACCCTTAATATCGTTGTGTCAGCGAATCTAAAGGTTGTGCTGACTTGTGCTAGGCTAGCACAATTCAGATATGCAATTTTGTGGTATTTGAATGACGGATACGAATGTTAGCGTTATTTTTATTCCGTTTTGTGAAAAATCGTTTTTCTATCATATCTTTTGTTGTTGTCATTATTTTTGAATACCACTTTAGCACAATGTTAGCATAAATTAGCACAACCTAGCACAACCTTAAAAATTGAAAAAATCGTAAAGTGAAGGGCTGGCCTAAAATATGGTTTTTTTAAATTTTTTAACGTATTTTTCGTATTTTGATATTAATATTCGAGCACAATGTAGCACAAACCTAGCACAATTCAGCACAATTCTCAAAATAAGTGAATTCAAAAAGTGGGGGCTAACTTAGTATAGGCTATTTTTGCTCGATATTGACATATCTACTTTCAATCAAAAGAATCAGAATTGCGT